CCAGGCACATGCCCTTGACCGGAATCGAACCTGGGACCCTTCAGTCCGCAGGCCGATGCTCCATCCACTGAGCCAAACCGGTCTTGGCGGTCGCTGGCAGTCTTATTCCATATTGAAATAATGTCCTCCTGAAACCGGACAGAGACTACAGCCTCACAGACCTCCCCAACCATGAACTGTTCCCCCCACATGGCCAGGATGAGATTCTCCCAGCAACGCAATGCCAAGCCCTTCCGCAGCTGAACAATCCACTTGCCACCATTTTTATTTGCATCATCAGAAGAAAAGGTGCCAATCTGTTTGATATACTGTTCATAGCTCTGTGAGCTGGTGGGAAGGCAGGGGGTTCTCCGGGAGTACCAGAAAGTGTAGTTGTACTGCAAGGATGCTCTGCTGGTCCCAGGACAACAGCCTTCCTCCTGCTGCTGCTTTGACTTTTGTCCCGTTCCATTTTTTCCTTCTCACCATCTTTCTTTGTGCTGTTTTCTTCATTCTGATCATGGTCACCACTGTCATCATCTTTCAATGCGTCAAACTTGTTGTTCATCCTCTCGCTGTCGCCACTGCCTCGATAAGCTACTTTTAAGGCTAAATTCTTACATACCCTTCCTTCCTGTCTTTGGTGTAAACTTGGGGAGCTGACTTCATTTCTCTGACACTGAACTTTTTCAGCAATTTGATATGGGACGCACCACAATGAGACCTGAGTGGCACAGCACCTGCCTCCCTGCAGCAGAGTCAGCAGCTTTTTATAGGTCCCATTTCTCACTAAAATGCACCCAAAGACAAAGGTGCTTGTGGGCATCGGGGGAGTGAGGAGTGCCTGCCTGGGAGTGTCTCTGCAGAAGTTGCTGATTCTGGTCAAGGGCATGTACCTGGGTTGCAGGCACATCCCCAGTAGGAGATGTGCAGGAGGTAGATGATCGGTGTTTCTCCCTCATCGATGTTTCTGACTCTCTGTCTCTCTCCCTTCCTCTCTGTAAAAAAATCAATAAAATATATTTAAAAAAAGAAAAAAAGAGTAGCTATTGACTTTTGGAAGCCACACAATGTTCCATCCAGCTGTATGTCCATACACATGAAAAGGTGTTCTCCTGGTTGAGTGAAAACAGCATGGTCCTTTGGATCTATAACAATGATAATATCTCCTGGCTCCAGTCCTGATTCCTGGTCTCCTTCACCATGGAATGTTATCTTCTGATAATCTTTCAATATGAATTTATAGAGTTTTCTTCTCTCAAACTTCTTCCTTCTGTTATAGATTTTGCCTCTAACTTTTGGACTGATCCTTTCCCCATGGCCCTGGCACTCCATGCACTCAGACTGAATTTGCTGAACCATTCTAGGGCTTATCTGATGAATGTTTATTTGCATTCCAGTACCTGGCCATTTGGACAGCGCACTACAGCTCCTTTCTTACCACCTCGGCCTTCACATTTATCACAAATCACATTCTTTTCTAGAACTAGTTTTCTTGCCGCACTATTATGTAAGTCTTCTAATGTACGGAGAGTTGATGCACAACTTTTTTACCTCTCCTTTCTCTGTGCATCCTTCCTCCTCCACCAAAAAACATATCAAAGATGTCCATCGGGAAACCAAAACCACCACCTGCTCCACCTTCCATAAGTGCTTGGTCTCCTCCTTTATCACTATGCATCCCTTTTCTTTGCATCAGAGAGCACTTCGTAAGTTTGAGAAAACTGTTTAAACTTCTCTCCCTTCATTTGGATTCTTATGAGGGTGGTACTTCAAGGCCAGCTTCCTATAAGCCTTTTTCAGTTCTTCCTGGGTGGCACTGGGTTTGACTGCCAAAACATCATAGTAAGTGGTTGCTTTCATCATATTTGACAGCCGGTGAGCAGGCTGAGGCAGGTGTGGAGGAGCTGGAAAGAGCGTGTTGCTGCGCGCAGCTGAGGCAGCAGCTGCTCCACCACCTCACACCAAGCGTTCTGGAAACTTCCCTTAATAAAATATATTATTTTAAAAAAAGAATATCAGAAAAAAAGTTGAGTTACTAATATAACTTGAATAAATCTACAAGTATTTATGAAAAATCAATTAAAACAAAAAATAAAGTTCTCTATGAAAATGGAATGTAAATCCATGGAAACTAGGAAAGCTTTGAAGAACAGGGACACGTTAAAATAGGTAATGAAGCAATTACACAGTGAAACACACAGTCAGCATTAGGACTGTAATGATGGTTTCAGTTTCATGCACATATCAAGATTTATGGCCGAACCGGTTTGGCTCAGTGGATAGAGCGTCGGCCTGAGGACTGAAGGGTCCCAGGTTCGATTCCGGTCAAGGGCATGTACCTTGGTTGCGGACACATCCCCAGTACGGGGTGTGCAGGAGGCAGCTGATTGATCTCTCTCATCGATGTTTCGAACTCTATCCCTCTCCCTTCTTCTCTGTAAAAAATCAATAAAATATATTTTAAAAGTAACTAAAAAAATAAAGATTTATGAAACACTATACTTAACATATGTAACTTACTCATTACAGCTGTTAAAAATGGTTCAACATAAAAACAAATGTACGTTCATCTATTTTAAAAGAACAGGTTTTGCAACTCTATATTCAGTCCACATTCATATGCCCTCTGGGTGAGAGTTTCATGTCAGTACAAAAAATGTAACAAACAATGAAGAACTTTCACCGAAAGCCACAAAAGAAACATCCTTGGACTAACGACAGCCTTTGTCTCCATCTTTGTTTTGCTGCCTGAGCGCCAATGCCTCTGATGGGAACATCTGAGAAGCTACAAGAGCCACAAAACATCTTGATTATAATCAATGACAATGAATGCTCCACAGAAGATAAACATGCCTGGGGTCCCATGGATATGTGTGCACAGAACTGCTGTAGTCTTTCCTCAAAACAATTCCTGGATGCCCAGGTAGGTGAGGACCATTCCATGTAATGGGCTGCAGTCTCGTCCAACAATTATTAGGTCAGTGTTTCTTCAGTGAAAGGGTTTCCCTCACTTCTATGGTCCTCAAACCAGTAAACATCACCGGTGAAATTGTAGGCATTAGGGCACATGGCCCTCTGCAAGACCTGGGCAAGACATACCCTTCACATGTATTGGAATCCCTTGCAAACAAGAAAAAAAATTTAATGCTCCCAGACATACTTGAGGTTGTCACAGCTAACCCCTCTTTTGGAGTGATCTCTGTGTCTCAAAGCATCCAGACATCACATGAGGATTAGAGAGTCCAGAGTATTTCTTAGGAGAATATGGGCAGCAGTGTAAATTTGCCAAAAACTACTGAGCTAATTTCTGCACCATACTGTTGCCCCACGGGCAAAAAGGTTTCAGACCCCATAAAAGTTGTTCACCTCATCATGCTTGGAGAGCCCCGACCTTCTTAAAGCTAACCCACACATTAAATAGAACAGCCAAGATTAAAGAAGTCTTGGTAAAAAGCCTTCATTATTGTACAAACCAAAGAGATATGAGACAGGCAGTTCTTCCACTTATGACTGAGGCACTCAATAAATTTATCACTGGCCTGCAGGGAAAGCATTCCCTCTGCAACATTATGTTTACTGGGGCCATCTGTAATGAGTCCCATGTGGCAACGCATGACAGGGAAACAAGAACGAACTATGGGCTCGGGTATTCCTCATTTTCTTCAACAAAAAAGACAGCAGAGTTAGCTTCACTGGGCACATGAGGATGGTGATTGATGCCATTTGTAGGGACCTTATAAGTGGTTCAGGTGAAATACCATCAACAACAGAAATAAGAAGCGACATAGATCTGGCAGGACATCTCTATATGTTAGAACGTGCAACATAATTACATAGTGTTCCGACATTAAAACAAAGACAACTACAAAAACTCTTATGGGAACTTTACATAATGTAGGTGATTAAATGTATGAGATACAATACAGAAAAATGAGGATTCACAAATTTTCTTGTACTAATGTTAAGTCCTAACTAAGAAACTACATTTCCTACATATCTAAGAAATGTCTCACATTTATAATCTTATGTAGAGAGCGAATTTAGAAATTTGGCTGAGACATACCTCATATTAATTGCACTCATAATGGCTTTCCCCATTGTGAACTCTCTGATGATATAGGAGACCACTTCTGCTTTTATAAGATTTTCCACATTCACTGCATTTATAAGGCTTTACTCCTGTATGAAGACTTTGATGATAACGAAGGCCATACTTCCATGTGAAAGATTTTCCACATTCACTGCATTTATAAGGTTTTTCTCGAGTATGGACTTTCTCATGACAATGAAGATTGTACTTAGTGGTAAAAGATTTCCCACATTCACTGCATTTATAAGGTTTTTCTTGCGTATGGACTTTCTTATGAAAATGAAGATTGTGCTTAGTGGTAAAAGATTTTTGACATTCACTGCATTGATAAGGCCTTTCTCCAGTATGAATTCTCTGATGATATTGGAAACCTATTCTACTTTTAAAACATTTCCCACATTCAATGCATTTATAAGGCATTTCTCCCGAATGAACTCTCTGATGACGATGAAGGTCAGTCTTTCTGGTAAAAGATTTTCCACATTCACTGCATTGATAAGGCTTTTCTCCAGTATGACCTCTCTGATGATATTGGAGACCATTGCTACTTTTAAAAGATTTCCCACATTCACTGCATTTATAAGGCTTTTCTCCCGTATGAACTCTCTGATGACTGTAAAGGCTGGTCTTCGTGGTAAAAGATTTTCCACATTCACTGCACTGATAAGGCTTTTCTCCTGTGTGAACTCTCTGATGACAATGAAAATCGGTCTTACCGGTAAAAGATCTTCCACATTCAGTGCATTGATAAGGCTTTTCTCCTGTATGAACTCTATGATGATATTGGAGACCATTGCTACTTTTCAAAGATTTTCCACATTCACTGCATTGATAAGGCTTTTCTCCAGTGTGAACTCTCTGATGATACTGGAGACTACTGAAACTTTGAAAACATTTTCCACATTCACTGCATATAAAAGAATTTTCTCCCGTATGAACTCTCCGATGACGATGAAGGACGGTCTTCATTGTAAAAGATTTTCCACATTCACTACATTGATAAGGCTTTTCTCCTGTATGAACTCTCTGATGACAATGAAGGCTGGTCTTATAGGTAAAAGATTTCCCACATTCAGTGCATTGGTAAGGCTTTTTTCCAGTGTGAACTCTCTGATGATATTGGAGACCACTAAAACTTTGAAAACATTTTCCACATTCACTGCATATAAAAGGATTTTCTCCCGTATGAACTCTTCGATGACGATTAAGGTGGGTCTTCGTGGTAAAAGATTTTCCACATTCAGTGCATTGATAAGGCTTTTCTCCTGTATGAACTCTCTGATGACAATGAAGGCTGGTCTTATAGGTAAAAGATTTTCCACAATCAGTGCATTGGTAAGGCTTTTTTCCAGTGTGAACTCTCTGATGATATTGAAGAACATTGCTCCTTGTAAAAGATTTTCCACATTCACTGCATTTATAAGGCTTTTCTCCTGTATGAACTCTCTGATGACAATGAAGGGCAGTCTTATAGATAAAAGATTTCCCACATTCACTACATTGATAAGGCTTTTCACCAGTGTGAACACTCCGATGATATTGGAGACCATTGCCACTTCTAAAAGATTTTCCACATTCACTGCAGTTATAAGGTTTTTCTCCTGTATGAACTCTCTGATGACGACGAAGGACGGTCTTAGTGGTAAAAGATTTTTGACATTCACTGCATTGATGAGGCTTTTCTCCAGTGTGAACTCTCTGATGATGTTGGAGACCTTTTCTACCTTTAAAAGATTTTCCACAATCACTGATTTTATGAGGCTTTTCTCCTGTATGAACTCTCTGATGATAACGAAGGGCAGTGCTACTGGTAAAAGATTTTCCACATTCACTGCATTTATAAGGCATTTCTCCAGTGTGAACTCTCTGTTGAAAATGAAAACCAGAAAATTTGGTAAAATATTTACCACATTAAGAGCACACACAACAACCACTTCCAAGATGGACACCTTTTCGCTGAATAAACGTGTGGGAGCAACTAATGTCTTTCTTACTTTCTTTTCTGCTGAAACAATTTTTTCTCCTTTGAAACGCCAGCCCACGCATAAAAATAGCATTTGGGCTGTCCCTGGTCTGAGTACCCTTTAGGTGGAGATGTCCTGACCCAATAAGGACACCCTGCCCAACATCCCTGCATGTGAAATGATTCTGGGAAACATTGAACTTCCAGCTGTTTGCAAGTGAGATCCTCTCCACACCTCTAATGAATGTCTTCTCTCTCACATGCTGCTGGTGAAATTTTGCACACAAAGAAAATCTTTTTGCACATGCCCCACACCTCAATAGTATTTGTCTGTGTTGTGTTCCCTGCAGCTTCATCACGTGGAAAATGTTTCCCAAGACTAGCCCACAACTCTCACAGGGTGACTCCTCTGGGAAGACAAGGGTAAATTTGGATTCCTTGCCTGTGACAATCTTCCAGAAACTTTTTGTTCAGTCACGATCTCCACATTCTCTTCCCCACAGCAGCAACCTGAACAAAAGGAAACGTAGGTGAAGTGCATGTTGACCTGACAAAAACAGAATATCTTCAACACAGATGTTTCTCTGTCATGACTAGACATGATTCCCTACAATGATTTTCAAGACGAGTGAGTCAGACTCTCAGGATATGGCTGTTATATATAACATGGCCCAAAAGGTCACTGGATGAGGAAAATCTCACCAAGGGAGGACAGAAGCATAGGCTGGCACAAAAAGAAGAGAGGCAGTGTCTGCTCGTTATTACTCCACAGATGGCTTCCTTTAGGACCGTTCATGCTGGCGCTATGAGTCTGTGTAGAATAATTCCAATGTGTTCAAAACCATAAATGATCAATCATACTAGAGCACATAATGTTCAGCGTCAATATAATAAATAATACATGTGCACTCTAAGGCCTAAAGGCATGGAACAATATTGGAGTGCAATAAAGCGAGATGTGTGAAAGAGGTAGAGGTGCAAAGTTTAGAGAGGTTAAGGTTATCCATGAGCTGGGAATCTGAGTAGAATTATCAGTATTAACACTGAAAAGTGTCAACATTAAGCAAGTAGAAGTAGAATTGATTGAGGAGTGGGCAATGGTAAGACAACATTGTTGAACAAAATGGGTTCCTAGTTATAAATGTAACAAAGCCCAGGCGTGAAAACTGCCCCCACAGCCCTTCACCAAGGCAAGACTGCTTCAGGGTCTAGCTCAGGGGTGGGCAAACTTTTTGACTCGAGGGCCACAATGGGTTCTTAAACTGGAACAGAGGGCCGGAACAAGAGCATGGATGGAGTGTGAAAATATAAATATTCAAAGTAAACATCATTACATAAAAGGGTACGGTCTTTTTTTTTTATTTCAATAGTTTTATTCATTTCAAACGGGCCAGATCTGGCCTGCGGGCCGTAGTTTGCCCATGGCTGGTCTTGCCTGTCATTGATAAAGTCATGTTTCTCCTGTGATGCACAAAGGATTCTGCCTCTTAAATCCCAGTTGAGCCACTGCATGGGATAAATGATGCAAATCTTAAAAAGAAAAACTAAAAATATGGATGGTCAGTGCTGTGGTAGAACAACAATGCACAAAGGCGAACACAGACAAAAGACCTATGAGAGTGACATCAGCAAGATGGCAGAATGAGAGATAGAAAAAGGTTCCCCATCCCAGAGTAAGTAGACAGCTATCCATGAGAAAAACATCCCACAGTTAATGGGAATAAGAGTACCATGAAGACAAACAGTAATACAGAATACCAAATAAGGAAAACTGCATAGATAGGATGACAGGAAACTGGGTGAGGAAGCACATTTGAAGATACCTAAGGTCAAAAACAAGGGTTAATAATAACTAACTAACTAACTAACTAACTAAGTAAATAAATAAATACAGTAACGGTCAGCTCTAGCTGGTTTACTCAGTGGATAGAGTGTCAGTCCGGGGACCGAAAGGTCCTAGGTTCCATTCCAGTCAAGGTCACAGGCTGAAGTTTGTTGTGGGTTCAGTTCCAGTAAGGGGGCATGCAGGAGGCAGCTTACCAGTGATACTCTCTCATCATTAATGTTTCTCTCTCTCTGTCTCTCCTTCTCTGTCTCCCTTCCTCTGAGAAATCAATAAAAATGTATTAAAACAAAAGGGTTAGCCCTAGCTGGTTTAGCTCAGTGGATAGAGCATCAGCTTTTAGACTGAAGGGTCCCAGGTTCCATTCCGGGCAAGGGCACATGACCGGGTTGTAGGCTCCGTCCCCGTTGGGGGGCATTCAGGAGGCAGCCAATCAATGATTCTCTCTCATCATTGATGTTTCTATCTATCACTCTCCCTTCTGAAATCAATAAAAATATATTTTAATAAATAAATAAAAATAAAGGGTTAGCGTTACCACTATCAGCCACTGTGCTTCTATTCTCATTGATCTTAGTGGCCTGTTCTCTAAAAAACTGGAAATTTTTTATTTTAAACACCACAGAATGCCCTGGTCAGGGTGGCTCAGTTGGATGGAGCATCCTCCAGTGTATCAAAGGGTGGAGGGTTCCAATCTCGGTTAGAGCACATATCACAATGAGGTTTTCATATCTGGTTTGCATGTGTGCAGAAGGCAGCCAGCCGATTGATGTTTCTCCCCCACCTCTCTCTCTCTTTCTCCATTTCTCTTCCTCTCTATGTAAAAGGAATCTAATTATATAAACAGCTAGGGGCCCTGGTGGCCTAAATGACCGAACTGACAACCGAACACCGGAAGTCAATCCTGACCCAGCACTGACTGCCGAGTCTGGAGGTCTGGCAGCGCCAGGCAGGAGTCAGAGGTGGGAGTCAGTCCCGGGAAGGAGTTATTTCCGGGTCATGTAAGTGGAAACCGTAAGATATAGAAACAAAGAAGACCTATCCCTCCACCTGGGGAGATATTGGCAGAAGATTAGTAGGGAGCCAGAACTTCCACCAACTCAGAACAATAATGAATACCCATTTCCCCCCTGACCCCCCCACCCCTCCCCACACGCACACACACCTACAAACCTTGAGCCAAGTGGGGCACCTGGACTTGTACTCTCTTCTTTTTTTTTAAAATATATTTTATTGATTTTTTATAGAGAGGAAGGTAGAGGGATAGAGAGTTAGAAACATCGATCAGCAGCCTCCTGCACATCTCCTACTGGTGATGTGCCCGCAACCCAGGTAAATGCCCTTGACCGGAATCGAACCTGGGACCATTCACCGCAGGCCGAAACTCTATCCACTGAGCCAAACCGGTTTCGGCATGTACTCTCTTCTTGAAATAATGAGATGGCACCTCACCCTTCCCTTTACCAGAGCAGTAACAAAGCAACCCAGATAAAACGGCTTAAAAAGATCCAGAGTTTTAATGCTCAAAATTTCTAGGTTTCAATGATCAAATTAGTCATACAAAGAAGAAGAAAGATCTAAAACTGAATAAAAAAGATAATAGAGACTAACACTATTAGTGATGATAGAGTTATTTGATAATAAGTTTAACGCAGCCATCAAAACAATCTTTACATGAGTGATTTTGAACATCCTTAAATGGGAAAAAAAGCAAGTTATGGCAAGTAAATAGAAAGTCTCAGCAAAGAAAATGAAGCTATAAAGAAAAAACAGATGAAAATTATAGTACAGAAGACTATAATAACTGAAATAAATAACTCAGTAAATAGGCTCAAAGCAGAAAGGATAAAACAGAGGAAACACTCAGGGAACTAGAAAATATAACCATAAAAATATCCAATGAGAATAGAGAGAAAACGGGCTTGAAAACAGCAACAGGAAAAGATCAGAACCACAGGAACCAGTGGAGTCATAACAAAAACAACAACAAAAACAACAACAAAAAACACACCACAAAATAAAACTGTAACATTTGGAGTCCAGGAAGAAATGAAAGTAGATGGAGCTGAAAGAGTACTTGAAGAAATAATGGCTGAAAACTCTTCCAATTGGTCAAAAGACAGAAACACTCAATTTCAGAAGGTGAGGAAATACAAAATGAAATAAACCCAAAGATATCAACACCCACATCATAGTCAAATTTCTGAAAAATAAAAACAAAGAAAAGAATCTTGAAAGTTCTGACTGACAAATAGCACTTCATCTATAAGGAAAAAGTAATTCTCATGAGAATAGGTTTCCCATTAGAAACCATAAAGTCTAAAAATAAAAGAACTGTCAACAGAGTCCTATTTCCAGTGAAAATACCATACAGCAATATGGGGAAAATCAAGGCTCCTCAGGAAAGAGAACACAAATGTAAAGAAGAATTGATAAAGGATAATATCTCAATCTCAAAAAATATATGAAATATATTCAATATCATCTCTCCAGGTAAACTCAAATTTGTTCCTCCAGGACTTACTTACCAGGATAGCTAAAATTAAATAGGTTTATAATATTAATTATTGGCAAGTATCTGCAGGATCTGGAACTCTCATTCACTGCTGGTGGTTGTATCACTTGGATAAAAGGATGGGCAAAACAGTACCTTCTGCCCTACCCGGTTTGGCTCAGTGGATGGAGCACTGGCCTGGGGACTGGGGGGTCTCGGGTTCGATTCAGGTCAAGGGCATGTACCTTGGTTGCGGGCACTTCCCCAGGGGGGAAGTGCGGGAGGTGGCTGATCAATGTTTGTCTCTCATCGATGTTTCTAACTGTCCATCCCTTTCCCTTCCACTCTGTGGAAAATCAATAAAATTCATTTTTTTTAAAAAAGAAGATCCAATAAAACCACTCAGTAACCCTGAAAAATGAAAGGATTTATCCTGATTAAGAACTCTGAAGAGGCCGAAACCGGTTTGGCTCAGTGGATAGAGCGTCGGCCTGCGGACTGAAGGGTCCCAGGTTCGATTCCGGTCAGGGGCATGTACCTTGGTTGCGGGCATATCCCCAATAGGAGATGTGCAGGAGGCAGCTGATCGATGTTTCTCTCTCATCGATGTATCTAACTCTCTATCCCTCTCCCTTCCTCTCTGTAAAAAA